AAAAAAAATTAGTGAGGTGGCAAGATTAAAGATGACACACGTTGCCATTAGAAGCTGCTAGATACTCATGCTATACACGAGCAACACAGTAACGGTGGTGTACTAAGGGATATAAATTCTCAAAATCCTTCCCTTAATCTTCGGGAAAGTAAAATCAATCATGTAAGTGAAATCACGATGATAACGTACTTTAATGATCGTGCAGCTCCTTTCAGTCAACCAGAGCAGATCCATCAGCATTCATCTCATCGTATTCCATCCGCCAAAAGCATCCATTCATCCAGCTGGAGACGATTGCAAAACGAATCTCTATGAACAACTGCGAAGTAATGTCGACCACTTACATCCATACGATACCTTTGGGAGACGGGCATTAGGAACGATTTTGGGTAATCGATTCGCCGCACGCGCCTGTCGCGGACCACTCATTTGCCGTTATTACAGCTCTAGCGTTCTTCATACAGCTCAGCCGTTATACGATCATTATTTTATTCATAATTCTACTATTAGTACTTTTGTTCCTGTATTTCTTACCTACTGCTGCATCCTTCTACATTCCTTCGCGCGCGACGCCCCTCTCACCGCAACGCGACCACTTCGTTCCTAATGCACCACACCCGATACCTTTTTTTTTCGAGAAATTAATGGCGTTTCCAAAATCAATCCATTCAGATCTGGCAGATACCGCTACAAGCGGGGAAAACCATGTTTCACCTTTGTCTCATTCGCCCGTATTTCATTGGAGACATAGTGAAGTTAAAGTCTCAGATGCGAGGAGAAGATCTGAAGGATATATTCGATGAATTACTCGAGGCGAAGGTTAGCTTTCCTTTTTTATATCCTGACGAACCAGTCTCATCCTTTTCAACTGCCGAATTTACATCTCCTCTCATCACGCCATGTACTTTCAACAGATGCTCACCTTTGAGAGCAACGCAAGCATTCCGAGGCGTAGATGCGATTGTGCTAAGAGGGGCTAAAAAGTAATAACGAAAGCTGTAACAGCGACCATGGAAAACAATAGATTCCTACCCAAAACATATTGATGCTCTGAAATCAGCTATTGATTCTTCTTAAATCTTCCATCTATCATTTGTATCACTTGCATCCTCTCTCCTCCCGTTGATCATAGATAAGCTGGAGCGGACGTCAGTCCTTACATAATCAGTGGAACCACTCTGATTGCCAAACGTTTCAATCAACCACTGCCTTGCCTACCTTTGACTTTGGCCTTAAATACTAACTTGACAGTATCGAAAGCTTTCTCCAAATCGATGAACGTAATACATAACGGCATCTTGTACTCCTGTACACTACGATGAATGGCAGTATGGTTATGATCGACCATAAGTGGTTGATCATGAGTGGAAGGATCTCGCAAAATGTTCTGGTATAATCCTGGGGCGTCGTACAATGCTTCATGGCATGATGGCATGTCAAACTTTGAAAATGATAACCAAATACTAGCATACTAGTCCTGCTTAAGAAGGTTGTTAGCAGGTAGAAGCGGCTATCTAAGAGATCCGAATCGGTAATTGCTTCGTCAAGAGAACAAAGGTGGCAAGAATTGTGGGAATCAAGAATCTTTCGATGCGCTATTAGGACCCCATCAAGGATATGACCTCGCTACTTCAAATTTTAATGTGTCGTGTAGATAACGGGTGAAAGGAAGTGGTAACACCTGATCAAGTCTGATAGCAAACCTCAAGAAGCATAATTCGTCGAGTCCCCTACGCCTTTCACACATGCGGAAGAGCGTTGTCTTCCTATGTTATGCAGGGAAGACTGCATAGTAATTGAAGGGGAAAAAGTAAAAGCAATAAAGAAACGGACTGATAAGAGTAATGAGAGGGCAACAAAAAACAGCTCGCTTTTTAGAGGCACCGTTCACGATAAGTTTAGGGTACCCTTTTTTTGACGGGAATTGATAGAACTACTTTACAATAAAGCGATAACAAGGAAAAAAGCGCAAAAAACGATGAACAAAAAGAAATACAAAGGGTCAAAAAAGAGCTGGAAAGGGGGTTGGACGAGTTTCACATTGAAAGAACGGTGGTTAGGGAGTGTTCGGGCGAGTGCACGAAGGCGACGCAATGTCTGCAATTGCAGACAACACACCAAACATCTGATCGGATCTCTCCCTGCTATTATTCTGCTAAACTGCTACTATTCTTCTCATCGACCGAGGGGCGGGAACGCGAACTACGGCAACAACGGGGCTGTCACTATGCCCTGGACGTCGAGATTGGGGGAGTGAGAGGGTCCCTTCTACAACCCATGGGGGCCGCTGAGTATTCGTGGAGAAAGAACTCAGTAACCTTTTTTATCGTGAACGGTGCCTTTAAGAGCACTGCTGATCTAATGCTAAAAAATGGAAAGGGAAAACAGCCCCCTCTTACAATAACGTTTGCGACAAAACTTACACACCCATCAACATCAGGAAATACCTTTAAGCGAGATAAACCTCGCTGATTACACTTCGAGAAAACCCAATCATGGTCGACTTGATGTTTTGCTAACTGCTGTTACTTGCCGCAGTACGCGTTCCGAAAGCCTCAAAGGTTGGCAATTTGTGTGCAGGTGGTGTGCCTGGTAAGCTTAAGTACGGGTTCGAGCCCTGTCCGAGACCGGAGCTTTGTCCATAAGTGGCCAACCTTGTGGGCAAATCATGTGTGTTTTAGTTATTTCCAAACGACATGCAAAATAGTTTAGGGTAAACTCCATAAGATTCTACTACCCGAGTTTTCTCTCACGGCCGAAGAGGATATGTTCAACATATGGTTGAAGAAAGGTATCGTATTACTTTTGCTTAATATTAGGTTAACCTTGTCAATCTCCGCGGTAAATTGAGTTAAAAAGAGGCGCTCCATACGGGACGACGTACGCGTTCGAAAATTGAGTGGTTTTGTGAGAGATTTGAAGTTAACTCTCTCCAATTACATGGCATTTCCCTCCAAAATACCCAAAGAAGCTTGCTTTTCAGACTCTTCTCCAAAGAATCTTAAGCTTTTCTTCTTCTGTTACTCACCTGCTTTGTACTCATACAACTATTTTTTTACAGTGAGAACAATAACAACTGATTAGTGAATACTTTCGAGTCCAGTAAGGCACAGTTTCGTGTCTTAAAAGGCACAGTTCACGTGAAATATGATATCTGAGAGTTCTGGGACCGGTATCTTCTCCCCGAATACTGCATCGCGCTCGCCGCACCCGCCGCGTTAGGGAGTCCTTTAATTATTTGAATCTACTGGCCCCTCCCTTCAATTCTGATGCGGTTTTGATCTTCTTGATATATGTAGGGGTAGTCATTCCAAACAATCAAGTCTAGTAAAAATAAAACCGGAAAGGAAACAAAAAAAAACAATGAAATAATAAAAAAAGAGAGGCAGTCAACGAAAACACTGCGTCCTATCGATTGGCGGGATGAGTGCGGTAATTGCAGTTTGGAGCCGCGGGAAATCAAAAAGGATTTGTCGCATGCCGCAAGGCGAACGTGGGAAATTGGGGAAAACTTCCGTTACCTGAGATTTCTTCCTTGGATAAACCTACGACCCCCAAAGATAACCTAAGGGACGCTGCCGGAAATAAAAGTCAAGATAGGGCGTAATAAGGGCCCAGAACCTATTTAGCCGACGTACACACTCAAGGCAGATGAGTGGTCGAGCGCTGTAAAAGTTTTGAGGTTGCATCATTCGCAGCTGGACCCACACCTTGCACGCAGGCAGCGTAGGGCAGCCAGCTGTATGCAATAGCGAGCGTGTTCAAAGAGCTCGTCCAAATACCCCTTTCACGCAGCATTCTCGTCCAGCCCCTGATTTTGCTTCTCCTTAGAAGCTTCACACTTCTCCAAATACGCCGATTTTCGCATTTTTTCGCCATTTTTGCACTATTCTGGACTATCACTTCTAGTACTTGTCTAGAACTGAATAACCCAAATTTATCGTGAACTGTGCCTTCAAACCACCTATTTCAGTTCCGTCACAAACATATGCAGAATTGAGAGAAATCCATCTCGTAAACCTGATTCAGAAACGAGAGTTCAACTCCTCTTTCTTGGCATTTTCTTTCAGTTTTTCGCATGCATTGTTTAACCTCTTGCACAGAGCTCAACTTGAACTCAGGCTCCTTGAAATACACCTCTGACCTTAAGATGAGCTCTAAGGAACTTCACCATAACGCAAAAGTACGCAGTCTAAATTCCTAGTCATTAATATTTAGATCATATTAAGGTTCAACGTACGTTATGGAATCAAGCAACGCGTTGCCACCTTTTAATGCAATTTGGAACGTCTCAAAGATATCGCTCACTACAGAAGGGATTGGCGTGAAGGATCTCAAGTTAGAGGTAATTGAGACAGAGAGTTTCTCCTGTCACCGCAATCCAAACCCTGTTCAGAACTGTCCACGACTGCCGCAGTCCTACCCTCACGGTTGTGTTGCCGACATGTATCACAACCACACTTCATTTGCTGCTGCTATTAACTCAACATTTCTGTTCGTAGTGACCGTAAAAGGAATCCTTCCACTGCTTGCAGGCTGTTATGCTGGACATCCTGCACCGACAAATTCTTCGTATACGGTTTTGGCAACGGAACGGTAAGTGAGCATACTTTCTCGGCATGGTTCACTCCATCCGACAATGAGATTTTCGATCGCGTAGATGTGCCCGAAAGAGTATTCGTGCCGTGGAATGACTCCCGTATAACATCAAGGTCCATTTAGCTTACAGCTCCTAAACAGATTTGAGTCCACCCACATGAAATCCAGGGGAATGGAATCCCGGAAAAGTATCTCTATCCAGTAGAATTCGCCGTTTCCTTCTACTGCCCTTGTCCCAATTGAAGGCTATTGGTCCCAATTGCTACCGATGAGACGACAAGGAAGAGGCACACCTTGGTTAGGCACAAGTTGACCTCAAAATCGATGGCCCCTTCCCATATGCGGCATCATAATCGCTAGATTCTCAATAAATGTATAACAACTGAGCGTAGAATGGTATAATATGGGTTCAGGATAAGAAAAAAGCCTCCACCCGTCATCGAAGCTCGACCGAAGGTGAAGTTGACGAAGAAACAGAAGAAATGCATGAAAGTGCGCCGTAAGAGGGCTGCAAGGATGAAAAAGCGAGTAGAAAAACTTCGTAAAGAAGCAGAGAAACAGAAAACGGAGTTGTTGAAGAAGACGGTCAGTTTCCTAGTTGTCACTTCCATAGGTTGTAAGTAACTTCCATCACCCTTCCTCATCACCTACATTTCTGGAATGTTCAAACTATACAGTAACTAAGCAACTCACCTGACAGACGCCTCCTGCTGTACTCAACAGTAGTGAAATCATTCCCCACCCTTGACCACTTTAGCGGATTCTACTCAGCTGAATCAGTTGTTCTATGAACTCAGACACCAGCACAACAATCAAGACATTACGAGAACGTTCAGAATCTTGGCATCCTAAGTTCTGACAAGTTCTGACCTATTTCTTCCAAAAAGCAATTCTTGCGGTTAAAATGTGGTTGCGCAAGTGGAGGGGGGGGGGGGGGGGGGGGGGGGGGGGGGGGGGGGGGNGGGGGGGGAGGGGGAGGGTGGAAATAGAGAGTGACACCACTCCCATCCAACATCCTAATGAATCTCGGTGCTGCTTACACCCTGGGGCTAGGTGAGAAAAAAAACTAAATTTCCACGGCCAGGAATAGTTCCTAAGCACCACTATGGATTGGTTAATTCCGCTATCTTTCCTTCTCTGCGCTCCAGCCCCTCCTCCACGACTACACGTTTACCATTTTTCCTAATACCCATAGGACACCTCTGATAGTAATGTGACCAGGAGTAAAGGACCGAATAAATGCGGCATGATTAAATATAGCCAACGTGCTGCATCTCTGACGCTGTACATTAACCGACATCGTAATGATCATAGCAAAACAGGCTCTACTGAACACTAATTTGGCAGCTCAATGATGCCAATGATAAGGTGCCTTTTCAGAATGAAGCAGTCAATCTTTCTTAGCTACGTAACCGACGTGCTGCAAATATTTCAATACTTTGTGATGAAAATAATAACTTTTAAATAAAATGTTTAATGTCATAGAGTGAATAATAAAGAAATTGTGAATCATCAACAGTTTGTCATAAAACGCGGCACACCTAAACAGATAGAATTTTAACATCACGCATGTGCGCTACCGGCTATAAGAACCATTAGAAAAATGTGTGTAGTAGAGGCAGACAACAAACTCAACAGTCAATGAAAGTCGACAAGAAGAATAGATATATAATGACCAATGATGAATGCGAAACATATCAAAACAAACTATCTCTATTATTTCCTCCTCCAATTCGTGTCAATCTCAGCACCAGATCCGCGGGGTGCAGGTCTCCTCGTTTCCGGACGTGTCGTACCCATATCACGTGGTGGCATACCTAAAATCCCGTTAAAGGCGTAAAAGTTATTTGACTCGTTTAAGGCAGTATACCTTGCTGAGCTTGATTCCTAAGTCTAGATGGAATGAACTTTCCACCTTCCATAGGTTTTGAAGGAGCAGGTGCTGCAAGTTGTGCATTAAACAGCAGGAATAGTAATTGAAAGTGACTATCGAATATACCATTAGACGGCGGTGGCTCCTTTTTAACAACATTCCCTCGAGTCCACATCCCCTCCGAAGGAGCGGAACTAACTGGTGGTGCCCTTCTCATTGGACCATCTTAATAGAAGATTATGCCGTTATTCAATGAAACCTAATTTTATTCTATAAATGGCATTTTCAAAATTCATCTAGGTACTCTAAGAACCGTCAAACATACCAGTAGGGTGTGAGACAGGGGGTGGTTCCCTTCCCATGCCACTTCGCCATGAGATATCTTTGTCTGCAATACTCGTCGGTGGAGCTGCTGAAATCGAACAGACACTAACAAAGAGGACAACAACTCAAACAAACGTCATATACTCATTTACTTACGAGGAGGCCGTTCACGAAATTCTGAGGGTGCAGGAGCTCCCATACCTCTTCTCCAGGAATCATCTCTATCGGCTTGGGAAATGATATTCTGAAACAGTACATTCCTTTCGTCTTGACTCACAAGCAGTACCTATAATTATACCTCTCGTTCTCGCATAGGTGGCCGCTCTCCAAAATCGCGATCGCGACTCGGAATGGGGCGGTTGATCACTGGCCGTTCCCGACCTCCTCCGCGCCAATCCGAATCTGCCATGGCCTTGGAATCCATATCCATTTCACGTCGAGTAGGACCCTTTAAAGAACAGCTTTCACTGAAATCGTTGACAAACAGGACGCAAACACTAACGCGTGGCTCTCTTGCTGCTCTTCGCTGTTCTTCAATGAGAAGTTGGCGTTGACGTTCCTCTTCTTCGCGACGACGACGTTCCTCATCCAATTTAGCCTGAAACGATTACACTATCTATACACGAAAATGGATAAATACGAGTCGACACATGAAAAAGGAACATGGAAAGTCTTACGCGTATCCATTTTTCCCGTCTTTCCTTCTTACGGTTTTCGGCTCTTTCCTGGAGACGAGCTGCTCGTACAGCGTTCAGTTTGCTATTCCAATCAGCAGTCTTCAAATCAAAATACCTTATGCTCCTAAGTAGTAGAACAGCACTCTAATGTCAAGTAATGTTTACCTTCTTTGCAAAGTCTTCCGCGTTCGACGATTTAACTTGCTCTATCCAGTCCATAGCATCTTCTCGTATATCTTCTAAACGCTCCCATATACTAACTGCTTGGTTGTGATCATCTCTAAAAAAAGCATGAACAGATCGGATCCACTTTTTAGCCATTACCAGTAAGTATTCTTACATAGCTTTCTGAATCCTCCTTTGTTCATACTTCTCGTGCAGTTTTGGTGCCTCTTGCAATCGTTTCATCATTACAGCTTTTCTAAAATAATTTTGTGACACTTAAAATGATTAGCAAATCGAAATCGACGAGACTGAATGGAGACATACAACCACCATATAAACTAGTCAGGAAACGGAATGGAACGTGAACGTACCTTTCCAGCATTTCCTCAAGATGTATCGCTCTAACTTGATGGTCGAAAGTTTTGTCTTGCTGTTGGAGACGTCGCTGTGTTTCCATACGCTCTTTATCCAGACGTTGACGCTTAAGAGGACAAATTATTCCACAAAAAGGAATATACTTGCATAAAAAATGGGGTAACAAACTTGTTCCCGTAGCACAGCCTCTGGATCCATGTCCTTGAATACTTGTTCTCCTTTTTCTCTAATGATAGCCTGATAGATCGCAGTATTCTGCATCCTACGCAGTTGATCTTGTTTGATCTTCCTTTGCACTTCTTCCTAAAAGTCCAGTTTGTCAGCCCTCAACACTACTGGGTATGACAGCAAAGTAATCTCAGATCTCTGACCTGCTCAGCTTGTCGTCTCCTCTTCTCACTTTCGATATTCTCCTGCTCCAAGCGTTTCATTTCTTCAGCACGCTTAGCTTCCTCGCGTTTGGCCAATTCAGCCGCTGCTTGTTGAGAACGCTCCGCCTTGACACGCTCCGATGTTTCCTTAATAAAAGCATTTGAGTATTCTAAGCCACAAAAACTACGAGGCTGGGCCCTATATGAATGATATTTGGGGAGGGGTCTATCCAAACGTTGTACAATAATATTTTGGCATTCTATTTTTTCACTTGTCAGGACACAGAGAGGCGAAATCTATTAGAACTGTACCAAAACCTGTTTCAAACAAATAATTGCGCTTTATTTTCTTCCATTCGTTAAGGATTCTTGCAAAAATATCTCCTCATTTGACATAACTTCCAGTTAATCTGCTTAATACATCAATATGTAGCTGACTCCCCCTGTCTAGCTCTTGTAGCCTTATCAGTCTATAGCATGGGGAAAATTATCTAGTTTAAACCACTTTCTACACAAACAGCATGCAAAGGCAGGGATTCTTTCAAAAACATTGAAAAGCCGAAGCGCTTGAAGAACCACATCAAACGCATTTGCCACCCTTGAGGTCAGGGACTACCACAAGGTCTGCTTTTAGCCGTGAGACAGCGATTCACTAGGATTTGTTAACTATAATTATTTCATTCACCCTCAGAAATCGAATCACTTGCTGCCTGTACAACTAGTATGATGAGCAGAATGTATAGTTAAAACCCGATCCGGTTTTACCAGAATTATGTGATTGATCAAGAGACACCGATAGAAATTTGTACAATATATTAATTCTGAAGGTCTTCAAAAACTGTAAAGGTCTAGTGATAGAACCAAACAAAAGAAGACCTTTTATGTGCGCTGTGAAGAAAAGCTGGAACCAACCTTGTAATATTCAATCTTTCGACGACGCTCCAGTATGCGATCTGTCTCTTGCTTACTATTTTTTGTTCTTTCGTAATTGATAGCATGGTGTTTGACCTGAACATAGAACCAGTCTCCCTACACTTTGCAAGATGAAAAAGATAAAAGATTTGTTTCTGATGTCGAACGCTCTGAACATTTGACTTCCAGTCAGAAACACTGTGGCGTTTTGATGCGCATGTGCTTTAAAATGCTTTGCTGGAGCCAATCAATGCCATCTAACAATTTCATCCTCTGAGGACAGCCTTATATGAATAAAATGAAAGTTCCAAGGTTTGTTTAACCCGAACGGCAATTGGCAATGCCCGACTTGCGCCTTGCAAAGTAAACATTGCATTGAAAATCCTAAACCAAAACGACACCCTTACAACCAGCACTGTCAAATTAAATAGAATTAGCAATAAATACCTGGTACCCTTGCATCCCGTTAATCTCTAAATTTTAATCGTCAGGCAATGGCCCATTAGTTTCCTGATTTCATACAACACCTAGCAGGAGTAGAGAGAACGAAATCAAGGCGTACCCTGGCAATGAGAGCTTCCCTACGTTTGTCGCTATCCAACAGTTCTACAGTCGAACGTAATTTGTTGTACATCACCTCCAGATGAGTGCGTATACCTTCAACACCCAGCTGCGTGTCATCACCTTGAAATGAAGGTTACATTATAATAGTGTATGAACTACAACAAGTGACGTAAGAACACAGTAGAATGGCTAACCCGTGAAACCATTCGCTTCTTCAAGGTCCACTCCTCCTGCTAAAGTGGCGTCTGCTGCTCCAAACCGAATACACCCACTGCGATGATCGATTTGGGCCTATAACAAAAAAAAAAGAAGTAGGGGCGATAAACGTTCACTCAAATAATTGCTGATATTTGCATACCAATATACTTTACTGAATCAATAATGTATCGTTTCATTTTAAACAAAAAAAAAATAAATATTCACCTTGACAAATCGATGTTTACTAACGTCAACTACGAGGCGCTCTAGCTCCATCTCGTTATAAAACGGGATGATTTTTCGTATCCGTGACCAACTAATGGAGTCATAAATGACGGATATCTATAAGAAGCGTTAACATCAAAAATCACTACAATTGGCAGGCAATTGAAAAAAACTGACTTGTTTCAAAGCTTTTGTGGCCACGACTTCATTGAGTGCATCAATGTACTGAAGGTGATCAGGCCGATCGATCAAAGCCAATTGAGCTTCAACTTCTCTAGCTAACCTTAAACATCCCCCTTTTAGAAATTTTCATTCAGAGCGCAAAAAATTCACCTGAGAGGGGCGAAGTTATTTTCAAGCAACTTATACAACGCATTGGTTGACTCTGAGGCCATCTCTGGGACCCCGAGACGAGCAGCTTCTCTCAATAAACCAGCACGAGTAGGAGCAATTGGTAGACGGAGCAAGTTCGAAAGCAACCTAGACATACAATATACTCTTTGGCTAGGACCTCTGATGATGTATTGTTATACCGAATATTAGTGAGATGTTGATCTTCGATGTCCAGATGGCGAGTAAGGTCTGAAGGCGCATCAGCACCATCTGGTATGGACAAAGTTGCGAGCAAAACACGACTCGCTTGTTCTTGAGCTTCATCTGCAGTGAAGGATCTCTTCATATCCTGAAAAGCAGTGCTTCACTTCAGCGCCTCTGATGGTTATGAAGCCATAATGAAACAAAATAATGTCTACAAACCTTATAAATGATGAACTTTTGAAGAAGGGCTGCCGCATGAAACAGGCTATTTCCTGCTTTCCAGAACACCAAGGCGAGCTAAATTCGAATGGACAAAAAGCTATCAGATACTGCAAGAGGGAAACTCAAACTTTGCCACATACCTTGTCATAATAATTCACATAGCTAGCAGGCTTCACCATACGCTTATCTTTGTCTTTGCTGAGCTGCATCATCCCGTGTACATCTTCTGCACTACTAAAATAGAATAACTTGAAATTGAATGAAATCTTTTTTGTACAATGCTATTATACCGATATGCTTCCTGCCAGAGCTCCATTTGTATGGCAGTATCCAGCTGGCAAAGACGTGTTTCCTGCATCATTGACAAGGACTCGGGCGAGCTCAGTTTCACCCTGAAATGAAGTGAATTCGGAATTCAACATGTCAATCTTACCACATAGTGCGTGTGAGTACTTATTCACCAAGAATAATCCTTTCTGTATTCCTTCTTACTACATTTTGTCTTCTTCACTGCTCCACGCTTTCTTGAACTTTTAACCCACTGGCTGAAGCGTGTGCCTGGCGCCTTCCTCATAATCGACACCTCGACGTTCTCAGAACGTCCAGCACGCGGCCACACATAGCGGTTTTTCAAGCAAATCGCAAATTATGTGCTGTTCGAAGCTCATTCACTCTAGAGTGATGCACCAAACGTGGGCAACGCATGTGCAGCACTCAGAACGCAATGGATTAATAAATCGATGGTTTTTACGGCTTTGTACAAGCCACCTACTTGTCCGAGGCGCGTTTCTATGATGGATGGGTACCATGCTGCCCTGCTCTAGAAACCTACCACTGTGGCTTTGAGGCGTTGAGAAGCAAAATTAAGAAGGTTAGCAAAATGATTCAGTGGTGGACAAGGCGTTTAACGAGATAGAAGAGAATCATGTAGCTGTCGGTTAGGGGGATATTGGCCAACAAGTTGAAGAACACGAGCTTTAAGATTAACACTAGCAAAACTTCCGTTCTCGAGACTGAAGGGGCTCACTCTTAGGATGGAAGGGTTGCTGGGCAAACATCAGCCCAGGGTTAAATCCTAAGAGCATGCGTAATAAAGAGCACTTTTTGCCAATACATTGACTTTGCCTCATGTCAATATGGAATTTTGCTGTTTCACTTACTGCGTCTTGCTCTAACTACTTTTCACTTTCCAGCTAGCCAATGATTTAACCTTATCCTGTACCAGTTAATAGGAAAGTTCAATGCAATAACTTACACATGAGCCAAATGTTGATGTTTTTGAATCTGGTTGAGATGTAACCGTAACAGTTCACAAAGCTTCCTGAATTCAGTTCGACGTTGATACTTGGAGCAGAATTGGAAGGATTTCCTCGTGATGCGGTGGTAAAGATGTTCAACCTCAAACAACAAAGATAAGCCACCTAATTATTAAAAAAAATTATTCAGTCAAACTAGTCAGTTTGTAATCGGAAACAGTGATTCGAACCTGAGCATTATTCCTTAATAATTCAAGACAATTTCTGTAGGAATCCCATAGAAAACGTAGCCAGGGTGCAAGCACAGTTCGGTCCATCCGATCTTGGGCTGCAGCTCCAGAAACAACTGACAGCAGAAGCCTAGAAAAGTTCATATAGATAATTACGGAATCGAACAGCTTATAGCGTTTAATAAAGCACACTATAAAAATTCAAAGCTTGTGAAAATTAATAAGTTTCTGGGGTAGACAACGAGAGAAGTGAACCAGCTAACTGAACCATAGCAAAAGATATTCGCCTGAGGTAGCTTTCACCACATTACTGAACATTAAATTGTGTATATCACAAGCGTACGAAACCTGCAGATCAAAGCTTCTCACAAGAATTTTGCAGCTCGTCAAGATGGAAGGGAATGAGCGAGAACAAAAAAGATAAGAAAACCTAATTGTTCTAGAAAAAAAAACGTTTTGTCATTTTAATAGGAACTCTGGCAACTTAACACTAACACTTGAAGCCGTTGAAGTCAACTATTAAGGTTAACGTTGAAGAGCTACTGATTTGTTATAGTTTCAGAAATGTCGACTGAAATTATTTTCATCCACGGTATCAGTTCTCAGAACCCATAGTGACGGTTGTACCCTCTCCTTCAAAGCTACCTCATACGAATGAATCGACCCGAGAGTTTGAACAAACTGTAAGCAAACGTATCTACCAAGAAAGGACCTGAACTCAAATGATGCATCCATTCCAAACGAAAGACCAATCCCAAAGTCAAACATATGTAAGTTTCAGATCTGTGATAGCGGACCCTTCTACATCACTTCTTGCCCCGCTTCTTGTCTCAAACTAGACCACCCTTCAGAACCTTGCTGAACAGCAGGAAAAAAAAACTGCGCTACACATGGAGGAGTCCACAGACCAGCAAAAGGCATTTCTGCTGCTCAGTTATAACACCTTTAGGCAAAAAATCTTTAGAAAAGAAATCCAAGAAAGTTACGAACGTCTCTGGAACATCTCCTTGATCGAGGTCGTCAATTTCCTCCACTTTCTCAATTGACGTCTTTTGGGCTTCTTCAGTTTTTTGCTCAGCCATTTGTAAAAAATGCTCAATAACAGTCTCTAAAGATTTAACCGCCACCTAAAATAAAAGAAATTTGATGTGAATAAGTCATAAAACACCAGCAAGTAAAAAAAAAAACAGACCTGATGAGTAAGTGTTTTATACTGAAACAATGCATCTTTAGCAACATGAGGTTTCTTTAGTACTACACATAATTCGACATGCTTCATCATAATTTGCTCGTGTGTTTGAGTCCATTGTTTATATCGTCTCGCCTAAAAAGCCAAGAAGAAATCAATGATCCCGGAAGTATAGGGAATGAGTGGGTGAAAAAAAATCCTACCTTAATCGTGTCATGAAGAGTATCAAGGGCATCCGATTCTTTTCCAACCTGGATTAGCTCCTGCGCTCGTTTGAGAGCAGTTTCAGGCTTTTGGAAAAAATTGGGCGGCATGCTTCTTAGCGAAGACAACCGAATACCCTGAAAATCATCCATATCAAGTGTCGGACGCAGGGAAGAAACAGGAGAAAAACAATGCACACGCGCATCCCCAAGCGACGGAAATGACGACCCAAATGGGACTTTTATAAGGCGAAGAATAAAAGCCAACGGAAATACCCTAACTTGTAAAATACATGTTAAAACGCTAAGTAATCACATTGCAGGAGAGTGACGTTGTAGCTGAGCTGTTCTAATTAAAGGGCCGAAGTGGTTTCCGTGCGAGACCACAACAGCTGATTGTCGCTAAACTCGTCCAACTTGACTGTTAATGCATGCATCTTTGCTGTTTTTCTCTCTGTGCCCTCTGCCAAAACCATACTATCTGCTGCCATCACCACCTCCCTGCGCTGCAAAAAACTGCCCACAGGCTGGATGGGAGTGGCAGTTGGTGGTCAAACAGGTAATACTCTGAGTGTTAACTAGTTTTCCTTTACTTTATCTTTGCACGACAGCTGTATGGGTGGCGCCAATCAGGGGCCGATTGCGAAATAGCTATTAGTTCAACGACGAAATGTGGGGACGATTGTCACACTGCTGCCCATATACAAGGTAAGGCCCACACACAAAGGCCCGTATGCACAACTCCCGGGGTAGGGGAGNGTTAATGCATGCATCTTTGCTGTTTTTCTCTCTGTGCCCTCTGCCAAAACCATACTGCCTGCTGCCATTACCACCTCCCTGCGCAGCAAAAAACTGCCCACAGGCTGCCTATGGGTGGCAGTTGGTGGTCAAACAGGTAATACTCTGTGTGTTAACTAGTTTTCCTTTACTTTATCTTTGCACGACAGCTGTATGGGTGGTGCCAATCACGGGCCGATTGCGAAATAGCTATTAGTTCAACGACGGAATGTGGGGACGATTGTCACACTGCTGCCCATATACAAGGTAAGGCCCACACACAAACACTGATGTCATATTTATCGACTGGGTCGCGAAAGTGAACGCAGAGCAGGGTAGGCAGCTGGGTTTCGGGAAATGGACTTTGATCCCGAATTGGATCATTTCCCAACTGCCACTCACTGGTCTGTGAATTGATTGCTTGGATGCTGACCTCTCCATTAGGGACATCTGAGCCAATATCGACCCTATTGATTGAAAACTTCAATACTGTTATGTTTACAACTGTAAATTTTAAAATATCAAGACAAAATGTGAAAAAGCTTTTTTGATTTCATAGTATATGTTAACTAGTTTGTTCACAAACAAGTTGCGATAGTAAGTTTTTCCACAATATAACGATTTCTTTTAATTATCCATTATTTCTTTGGTTTCCATCCCTTACAGTGTTGCACAATTTATGTTCACATGGGGTTTTCCTCTTTTCAAAATGTTTTTCATTTTTTCATCAATTTTTCTCCTTTTCCTTCTCAATTAACGATGTTTCTTATTCATGAAATCGATTTTAGGCACGGCGGATTTCATAGTACAGTGAATGCGACATACAGTAACCCAAAGACACCCTCAGACGCCTACAAGCACCCGTCACATATAACTCGTAACAAAAAGGTACCCTGGGTGGAGTCCACATAGAAACGAAAATTCAGTACGGCACTCGGCTCTTACAGTAATCGGGAACCCCGCATGCGGAAATTCTCACTCGTCGCATATACGACGCGTCGAAAAGGAGCCTTGGGCAAGGATACGGGTGGTTGGGAAGCTAAGGGTTTACTGTAGGAGCCGAGTGTCCGTACTGAATCTTCGTTTCTGTAAAGCCCAAGGGCGATGGGTGATGAGGCGCTAGGGGGGTTCTGTACCACACTTTCACGGGTCGATGAAATTACTCCAATCGATTATAGTGTGAGGTGAGTATGGCAAAAAGGCCAGCGGTCAACAAGAACTCAACGTCAGCTAGTGAGTGGAGATAGGAAGTTCCAATTTTAGAGCTAAAGTTGCATTTCCTTAAGATTTTGGAATTCATGTCTGTCCTGTATGGTCAACAGATGTTTTCAAGAACAAATAAGAGCTATCGAGGAATCTTCTTCGCTTTATTAATATTGCTCCTATTATGTTAAAGGCACAGTTAACGATAAAAATGGTTTCTGAGATTCCCCCACAGGATGAATTTGAGGCCCCCGTGTATATCATATCTGGTACCATTAGGTCGGAAAACGGCCTAGTTAGGGAGTTATAAATGCTCAAAGATTGGCCCATGTTTATCTTCGGACGAGTGTCACCGGCATTGTAGAGGCTGCATGATCACAAGGAAGCCCACGAAGGAATTTCGTACAACTTGTCATGACCCAAGCGACAGTGAAATACAATTCTGTACAGTTCTGGCTTGATGTAGTCAGCTCTTCGTGCCCTACTTTTGAGGAGCCATATTTTTCTCGAAATCGGCGAATTCTCTCGCTTCCTTCACTACCGATGAACTATTCCCAACCTATACTTCTGCCTTCCGAATAAAAAATAGGTATCTCAGAACTATCGTGAACTGTGCCTTTAAGTCTGACATACCTCCCAATTCGGCTCAAGCGACAATTTGCAATCGACTAATCTTTAACAATTCAGTGACCTGAGAGATACACAGACAAAGCTGAGCATATGCGGCGAAACTCGCCTCAAAGGGATTTGTTTCAAATAATCACTTTCGAGTGAAGCGTGGCGATTACTTCCAGTCTTTGATTTCGATAGAGAGTGGGAAGTGGAATTGTTGGTTCAAGAAAACTATATATGAGAGGGTTAGAAAGTGAGGCAGATGGCTTTTTCTTTGACGAATGACTGCCCGTCTCCCATGACTCGACCATGAATGTTCCCCTGCGTGGGCGTGGGACATCTTCGAGAGCGATACAGGAAAAACGATATGTCCTCGGGAACTTTTTGTGCGCAAGTGTTGATCCAGTCAGTTGATCATGTGGGAAAGCTCCACAAGCGCTGAACATACTGCCGTTTTTCATTGCAAAGAAAGCGTTGACTGAAAAAAAGCAAAGAAACAGTGGACATATGACGTCAGCGCGGTGTAAACAAGGACGAAGGTCTTTGCTCCACGGGATGATGGCCAACAACTCCTGAAACGATCTTTTGGTGATGTCGTGGGGAAATTAAGTCATCGAAGAATATGTAGGAAATTTTGTGCGGTAGTTCCGTACAATTTCGCAGCACAAGTCTTGTCAACTTACAATAACAAGGTAGCTCCCACTTATCAGAAAGCGAAGTTCCAGTACCTATCCGAGTTATGGACAAGCTCGGCCGCATAAGAGTTTAGCCCTTTAATCTCTAAAGTTAGTCCGCTTCATGTTACATGGGACCTTAAAGGATCACATAAAGGGAGCAAACCGGACAGCAAGACGGTCAGTTGCCTCATGAGGTCTTAGATCGTAGTAGGCGCCATATTATCTCCTTCGTGGTCCTCCGAAACCATGGTTTTTTCACCCTTGCAATAAAACCGTTTTTGAGAGAAATTACTTCCTTGATGTGCGCCATGACAATTCCGGCCAAATCGCTAATCCGTCAATTATCTTGCGAACTCTAGACTTTGATCATCAGGAATTCCTTCGACCATCGGTCATTCTCGCAATTAGACACCGAAATGGATTAAACAAGTCTATGCTGGGACTTTGTTTGAGAGGGTTGGTGGACGAAATGGCTTTTCACTATAAAAAAAAATGATCTGTGACCACTGGCAATCACGAAGTCTTGAGGGGGTAAGTACACCATCAAGTAACCCCTTCGCTCGCGAACACAACTTTGAGCAATTTCAGGACATTTGGACCCACCTCTTCCCAAAACTCTTGCCTTTAGTACCCTCATGGCCATCTTTCTGTCAAAACAATTTGAAAGGCATTCGCCCTCTGCGTAGACGTGTTTACTAGTCGACTTTAGGATAACCTGAGCTGCCAAACCGCTTGTCACGATCGGCTTCAAATCATGTTTTCCCCTACTAAAGGCTACTTGATGAGCGAGCGTGATTTCTTCTGGATGGACAAGTGCACTGTCTGATTGAACACCATGAACTCTCTTAACAAAAAAGCAAAATCATTCATCCATGTGTCAGTGTTCACCTTTGCGACAGATGCTCTTCACGATTATATCAACCGCTTGTTTTGTGAAGAGTCGCATTCCTTCAGTGCAAGGCAAGCAGGCAGGTTACTATATGGGAAAAACAAGTTTCGAGGGCGTGACGGGAGGGGCTCGGATAATGGGAGTACGAGCCCTTTACGTCAGGGGATCTGTTTTTCTTTGAAGGCGATAAACGAAACTCATCAGTGCATCAGCTGCTCTGTAAATTTAGGCGCTGGTTTACTGGAATGGAACGAAAATCTTGAATGTGTGTAGGCCAGATCCAATCGTATAAGAGGATCATCAACTTTTACTACGTAGAAGAAGTAGTGGGGATGAAAACGATGTAGGTGGGTTCATAGGAGTAACCGAGATCGTAGAAAAAAGTGGAATCAGCCAGTATTACGCAGAAAAAGAGCTGGTGGGATGGTGGGAACTAAAACGAAATGCCTTGACAGCCCGCAAATATGTGCTGGTCACGAAAACACCAGACACTCAAGAAACGAGGGCTAGAACCAGCGGCTACGCTGATTTAAAGCTTATGGCGTGAAGCAACGTTGGACTCAACATCGAACACCGCCATATGTTCTAAATAGTTTCGCGTAACGTTGGTTAAACTTCACTCACTCTTTCACTTAAGCTTCAATTAAAGGCCGCCCCTAGCATAATTCAATTAGGTTCCGCTGCAAGAGCACCTTGTTAATCAGGTTCGAAAGCAAACAAGCCACGATGGACCCATATGTCATAAAGGAGCTGCCACACAATGTCCAAGAAAAGTATGACCGAGCATTTTGATCTATTACGATCCTCATTATGAGGACACCGTTCTTATATGCAAAACAGTAATTTGGTGTATCAATCTTTATGCCCATCGGAACCCTTCCCTGACTATGATAATAAGACAGGGATCCGAAAACCCACCCCAAACCGAGACGGTAACACTTTTTGGTTAGGAGAGAGCTCAAATGTTAGGGGGTGTGGTA